ATAGGCCGTTACACCCTAGTATTAATTGATTTTTTCAAATACATTTTTTTATAAACTGCACGCCGATTTGAAATCGCAAACTAAAGCTGAAATAATATCTTAAATTAAATTGATCGACAATTTTAATAAAATATGATACCAAAGCATCTTAAAAACCTGTAAATAATTCATTGCGAAATAATTATTAGTTGTTACACAGACGATGTTTATTAATTTATCAAAAATTTGTTTAGCTGATATATAATAAAAATGCATTTTTTTTCAATTGAGATTCTCCGCATTTTCAGGCGCCATCGTTAGTGTCCCGAAGACCACCGCCGGCTTCCACGTATTCAGGATATGGCGAATACGGGGGACAGTTCTTTTATTATGGTAATATGAGCAAATACGCTTACGAGAATAGATTCAAGTACACCAGGATCAGTAACGCGGGAAACACCGGCGGAGAAATTGAAGAGGAGACTAATAGGCCTTGCTTCGATTTGATCATTGGAATCCAATTAAGGCAATTTACTAAGAATAAAAAATTATTTGTAAAAATCACAATAGTAAAAAACCTTCCCAATTTCTTAAACAGCTTATTTAAAAATTTTCTTGTCTTTCCTTAAACTGTAACTATCGCAAAATGAAGCTACCTTTTTCTGGTTCTTGAAAGTAAAATTCTTTTTTATCAACCTTAATGAAAAATAAAATATCTGAAATTGAAGAGATATTATTAAAATAATATTTAATCTCTACTTTATTCAATAATATAAAATAATTATTTAACAATGATTACGAGATTTTCTTTTTCTAATATTGTTCTATAATAATCGTTACACAATATCGATAACATTACCGTAAAATAGAATAAATTAGAGCAATTGTTCAATGAATGACTTCTCGATTAAGTGTCTAAAGTTTGTATTTTTTTCGAGTATAAATAAAAATAAAATAAAAAAACTGTCAATTGTGATTTTATTAATTTAGATGTTCACCAGAATTAGCGCCGCTTGCCACAAGGATGAATCTAAAAATTGACAGTCTTGATGGCTGCGATACCAACCCGAATCAAGAATTGTACCTGAAACTAAGTGTAAAATGCGCGGTGTCCAAGACCAACAGACTGCCAGATACCTTCACCTGGGAGGTGTGTAATCCTCGAAAGAACCGCTTGCAATGTTGGTGAATTATGTATACATTCTTATATCTAATGTACAATAATATTTAGCGATTAGAACGATTTTTATTGTTATGTAACTGAAGATAAAATAAAATGGTCCGCACACTTTATTCGAATGTTGAAGTTTCTAAACACCTTCTATTTTACTACAGATAAAAAATAATAAATTTATTTTGTTATCTCGCTATTGCGCCTCAGTAGTCTAATGGCTCAGGACGCTCGTATGGTTTACAAGAGATCCGGGTTCAAGTCCCGGCCGAGGTAATATTTTTCGCAATAAATTTATTAACAGTTTTTATATATTAACATCTTTATAATATATGATGCTTGATGGTAGCATCAAATTATTAAATTGCTTGTCAATTTAATTCACGATTACTAGAGTAGTTTTAATTGCGTTTATTTAGTCCGGAAAAACAATTCGGCGCGCAGTTTGAAAAAGACAATATGATATATATGCAAGTACATATATAGTATATATTAGTAATTCAAGATTGAATTATTTAAAAAGCAACGAAGATCTAGCTCCGACCGTAATAGGCAGTTAAATTTCTAGTATTGAGTTTATTTTGCTATATATTGCACGGCAAAAATTTACGCCAAAATTCTCGCTTCTGATGTCATCTAGTAGTGAAAAAACATATACAGGGTGTTACAGATACATACTAGGTAGTACGACGGGTTGCGCGGCAAACTTTGCACGACCAAGCGTGGTTTAATAGACAATGACAGTGACTTTATAACATAAACTTTATAATATAAATAATAAAACTTTGTAGTATAAACTTTGTAATGTATAAAGTCACCGTCATTGTTTATTAAACCACGCTTAGTCATGCAAAGTTTGCCGCGCAACCCGTCGTATGTACTGCCTAGTATATATCTATAACACCCTGTACATAGTCAAAGAATAGAAGTCTTAATCTGTAAAAACGTAGCAAAAGGTCACAAAATGACACGTTGAAAACCAAGTAACCGAAAGATGTATATATTTATTTACAAGAAAACTTTCTTAAATAATGAAATGTCTTTAATTCATGGATGCTGTTATGCTGACTGCTTCCTCCTCTACTCGATGAGGCTGCCACATGGTGATGTTCAATTTCTTAGCACGTTTTTCCAGGATACCGTAGGCGAAATGATTGAGTAAAATACCTTTAGGTAAAGCAATGCCTTGAAAGCGATATAGACCATCCGTGGATCCGTCTGTGAGTCTGTGTATTGCCGAAACAGTAACGCGTCCCACTAGGCCGCTATTGCCTATCATAGGACCTTTGCTGATATCCACATGGTCTCCTATACGATACAACGTTATTATATCGTTGTCACTGTTTTTGGCAATATTGGGTATCTGCTGGGACTTGAAAGGATTATCCTGAAAGCAAAGATATGATCAAACTCTTATCAAGTAATTTTAAAAACAATAGCAATTGATTTTTGTAAAATAATATCTCATAATATACAGTTTTAACATCTTAACGAAGGCTATGTTCCAAAATTGACTGCCAGTACTGAAAATTGGAACACAGCCGTAGTAATCTAATGATATAATTGTATGTGATATAAAGTGTTAAAAAAACAGATTTTTTTCTTTAGAAATATAATTTAATTTTTACAAAATGCAAATTAGTAAATTAGCAACATAGAAAATTGAAAAATACTTGTTCCAGAAAAAATATAAATACGTGAACATAATATATGTAAATCCTATACAGAAATTTAACTCAAAAGAGGAACACATTTTTTGATGCTAAAAGTGAAAAATATTTTTCAAGTTTAATTATATATTCTTAATCTATAGTATAAGGCTGTTTGAAAAATACAAATAAAATATTATTAACAGAATTACTGTTTATAAATCTTGTTCGATATATTATAAACATACAACAATCATATCAGTGAAAATATTATCTTTAAAATTATTCCTAGGGTTATCAAACCCATATGTGTTCTGATTATGAGTTAAAAAGTTATTAGACTTGACTAACAACTTGCGTTTTATGATTAATAAATTAAGTCAATCTTATTCCATCTCTACCTGAAACATATCCAACGCAATACTAGACGGCACTTCCAACCTTTCCAGTAATAATTCGCGATTTTTCAATTTGACAAAGAGTGCAGACATGGCACATAATTCAGAATTAGTTGGCCGCCAGTCCGGCAGATCAATAAATACGTCGTAAGTGAAACTACCTGAGGTGATATTTGGAATAGGAAAACTGTGCAAGTGCAAATTTATATTGTCCTTGAATGCAGAATCCGCTACAGCACCCAGAATCAATGAGCAAGTTCGCCAGAAGGCGTAATTAACCATGCGTATCCGTGGGCTTTGCATGGTAATCAGTTGCAATTCGCAATCACCCGTAAATGGCCTATGCATGTCCCAAACTTGATTATCTACCAACGCAATAGCTGATATCTTGGCGACGCTTTCAGAAATATGCCTGGCACAGTCGTACGGTGTAGAAATGTTTCGATTCATTGCCATTACAATCTCTTCTTCTGCCGACTTATATTTCACTTCTATCTTCTCAATTCTACCCAATTGTGATCGTTGCCTCCGCTTCTCCTCGTCGAAAAGCTGGCTCCTTCGTCTCCTGGCTTCTGCCTTGGACAATGTACCAGCGTATCTCGAAGACATAATCTGTGCAGGTAGCTTCAAGCCACTTGCACAGAACCTTTTGCATCTACATGATAGATTATATTCAATCAATATAGAAAATAGCTAATGGATCAATGTTAAGCAGAATCATAAGACTCGTAATGTGTTCTCATAAAACTTGTAAGAACTTATGACTAGTATTCTAATTTTATGTGTATGTATCATAATAAGACATATTCGTAAATATCTATAATTTATTGCAAATTTTATGGCTAATAAGAAGCTGTCTGTAAAAACATTATACAGCATGTCCCAAAAAGGTCGGGACACCTATATATCGCAGAAAATATAAGTTTTACAGAAAAGTGTTTCAGACAAAAGTTATATGGTTTAAAAATATCTATTTACTGATCCTATCAGTTTGACCAGTCAAGGCGAGATCGGTCGGTGGTCCGTGAATCTTGACCTTCAGTTGACCAACGCACAAACAAAAACATAACGCGTGGTATTACATATCTTGGGTAATGCTAGTGCTGGCGATACTGTAACTTTGAAGCATTATAACTTGAAAAGTACTTCATAAAAAAATATTTCATTATAGCGTTTTGGAAAGCTCTCGACATCAGCTATTAGATTCTTGAATCAAAAATAGGGTGTTCTATTTCAGAAAATCAATGTAACCTTGACCTGACCTTAGCTACGCAACCCAAGGTCAAACTGATAGGATCAGTAAATAGATATTTTTAAACCATATAACTTTTGTCTGAAACACTTTTCTGTAAAATTTACATTTCCCGAGATATTTAGGTGTCCCGACCTTTTTGGGACACCCTGTATAAAGGTATAAGCACTTAAAAATTCTTACAAATCTTATAAGAATATGTTACGAGCCTTACAATTCTACTTAGAATTTAAGCATAAAACATTTATAATGTTAAAGTATTGTTAAGATAAATTTTTTCATAATATACAGGGTGATTCATTTTAATCTTTCTCTTCTTCTTCATTCGTATTTGGAATGTTTTTTGATAAAATTACATATTTTTGAAATATTTACCTGTTAAGATTGAAAATGAATCTTCCTTAATATTAGATTGTTGAAATGAATTGTTCATGATACGCAAATTTATTCAAATTTAAGAAGTACAAACTTTACATTAATATTAGTTTAAAACAAATATTGAATTGATTCTCAAGATTTGTCTTGAATTGTTTCACTGATTACAAGAATACCTCAATAGAAAAGAAACACGACTGTAAATATAGACCATAAAACAGAAAATTTACAATTCTAAGAGTACAGGTACATTGAAATCAATTAATTTCACTAAAAACAGATAAAACACTCGCTAAAACAGATAAAATTATTTAAAATTTACTTAACATTTAAAATAAAAATACATACCCATGCAACATGTTGAGGTTAGGACGCTACAGATCAGATTTCAACAGATTTTGCGCAACCCAACATACGTGATTACTTACATAGAAAACATTGGAACGATTTTTTACGCGTGTAACAATAACTATATTGCGTTCTTTAATTAAAATTACTTTTAGAAACTACGTTCAATAATAATGAATCAAGATCAAGTTAGTTAGTTTTGGTACAATGGCCTCGACTACGAACTGAGTCGATACCAGAAACTGATGTTCAAGTGAAATGATATGATTGGTCGGCGCAAGTTACGTTTACGCAAGTTACGCCGCATGTGACGGCACCCTTAGTGCAATCGGAGCCCTCCCTTTTAAGGCGTCGTCTACAATACACGGAGTAAGAAATAAGTAAGGCGTCGTCTACAATACACGGAGTAAGAAGTAAGAGTAAGAAATTGACCAGTCACAGTCGAATGTGAGAAGAATAATCGACTGTGACTGGTCAATTTCTTACTCTTACTTCTTATTCCGTGTATTGTAGACGGGCCTTTAGAGTTAAGGTCCGTCTACAATACACGGAGTAAGAAGTAAGAGTAAGGGCCTGAGCACAATAGAGGAACAGGAATTAGATATTAAGATTTCAACCTATCAGAAACTGATTACATCGGAATACGCGGTTTCTGATAGGTTGAAATCTTAATATCTAATTCTTGTACCTCTATTGTGCGCAGGCCCTAAGAAATTGACCAATCACGGTCGAATGTGAGAAGAATAATCGACTGTGATTGGTCAATTTTTTACTCTTACTTCTTAGGCTGCGTTCGTAAACGTTACCCATAGGGTAAAAGTGTCTCTGACCCCGTTCAGAAAGTCGAAAATGGAAAAATTACCTTTATCCGAAAACGTTCACAAAGCTTTCCAAGGATTACTCAGGGCATTCCTCAACATACCCTGCTCGGGACTGGGGTAGAGTTTACTCATCATGCGCAGAAACGCATTTTTCACATTATACGTGAAATTCTACTTCTTCTGAAATTCTTCTTCTTCTTTTTCACAATATATATAATAATCTGTTAACAAATTAAAAAGATATAACAAAACAATTGAACATTTAAATATTTTAATTTATTGTTTAAAAAGAACATATCTATATATTTATCTATTCATAGAAAAATATAAAATTAGTATATATAATATTCTTTTTTTACTCTTAAATGTTACATATATTATGTACCTTTACCACAGATGAGAAGAAAGTAATGTCGTTACTTTTTTATCATTACTTTTTATAATAATGATAGAACACTCTATAAAAGCTATGCAGGTTATTCCAGATCGTTCATAAACTGTAGGATGTTAACCTGTTCCTCAAACTGTCACCGTACATTCCCCACAAAATTTACCCGTACCTCGCAGGGTAAGGTTTACGAACGCACCCTTACTCAGTGTATTGTAGACGACGCCTCACAGTCGATTATTCTTCTCACATTCAACTGTGATTGGTCAATTTCTTACTCTTATTTCTTACTCCGTGTATTGTAGACGACGCCGCAGAAAAAACTAATCAGTGCTTAGTGATTCTTTAATATGATTGATTCTTGCTTTTAACTCTTCGCTAGATTTAGGTATAGGAATCAATCACATTAAAGAACCACTAAACACTAATTGATTAATTTTCCTAATTAGCTTTTTCTACTAAACACAATCACTGTGATTCTTATTTAAATCTAGCACAAAAAAATAAAGACAAGAGCCAATCACATTAAAGGATCGTATAAAAGAATCACTCAACGGTCATTGATCTCTTGTATACTAAAGATGCGCCTACCTATCTAATAATTAAAACGGCCAGGAGTAAAGATAAACAACAAAAGCAAAATATTGCAACTTTTTAGGAAATGTTAGAAATTTTTATTTTGCATGTACATGCTTATCAATATTTTATAAAGCTCGCAAACTGATAAACAAAATCGGCGAGAAGTTAGTGTGATCGCTAATCATGGTAAACACTAATATGCTATATCATAAAAATGATTTTTTTTTAAATAGCAAAAATTTGTAAACATTCTCGCAACCATTCACACACTTGGCACGTCGTTAATAAGTTCGTTATGCAGATAACAGCACTGTTGCAGGCATAAGATTGATTTCTTTCAGCGAGTTTACATTTTGTTTCCCTTTGTTTTCGCAAATTCTAAGCTAATCTCAGTTACCATTGCAAGATCACAATATCTCTCACACTCTCCGAAATTGACAGAAGAATCTCTCGCGCGCGCATGAATTATTTATTAGAACGCGTAAGATAGTTTGAACGACTGAACGCAATCAGGTGTATTTATCGCTTACACAAAATATTAGGATACAATCAGGAAATACTCTTAGATAACTGTAGGCTATAATTTACTTTACGTAAATTATAGCAAAAGTGAACTAGAGTTTTCTGGGCGTAATTCCTGAATGCACACCTAATAGTAATACACAACTGACTCATTGAGAAAAAGAATTGTCCGAATATTTCATCAGAATATACAACTATAAAATATATGGCGAGTTTTTATGTAGCAACAAACATGATTTCCATCCATTTGTCGTTGAGTTGCATTATCTTGTTGAGGAAAACAGACGGAATTAATTCTTGAAGCAGCCAGCTTTGCCCGCTTCATTTATAAATCTATTCATCAAATTCTCGTCCTCAAGCTTGGCGAAATTTTCTGTTTCCACCACAGCCATCATATGAATACTGGCGAATCGGACGCAGAATTCTCTCAGCTCCTGAAAAATTACCAACAGCATTCAATTATTGTACGTACATAACATACACAATGAAATGTTAATAGTAACAACGTTTGACTACCTCTGTATTATACTTCACTGCAAAGCTATAAAAGTAGGCGACATTTGATACAGTAATTCCTAGCTTTATTCTATGAATACACTGCTTCTTGAGATTGTCCTCACAATAACCATTGGCCAAATCAAAAAGTTCTGTTAAAAAAAACATTGCTTCAATTATTTGACGCATTCAGCGGATTCAACAGAGTGAGCGTTCGCTGCTATTGGTGTATTTTACCAGATCTGAAAGTCTGATTGGATGATTTAGAAAAATAACATCAATATCAACGTGCGCTCACTCAAATGTTTAGTCCGCTGAATGCGTCCAATGAGTATTTAGACCAATAATCGCTCATAATATACTCCACTTGCCTGATATCTTCTCAAAGGTATTTATAAGGCATAAATCTACTGTATTGGTGTATAAATATTTCAGGTATGCTTTGTAGACGTCATGGGAAACTTTATTAATCTCAATGACACTGTTGGGAGAGAATGGCGTTGACATGAGCAAAAACTTGAAAAATTTTACATAAATAACACTGATATTTATTAAGCTATTACCTTTGATTGTTTTCTGCCCAATCACCCTCAAACATTGTTCTGAGGTGTAAAGAGCAAATTGTCAAGATAATCTTATGCACATAGATACATTTGCCCTCCACTTGTATTTTGAGATCGCTTGTCAACTATATCATAAACGAGAGAACAAGTCATTAGAAACAAATGTATACCGTATTAGTATGGTACATAAAATAATCATTTATTTAAAATTTGGAAATAAAATCTGGAACACACTCTATTACACTACCAATTAAAGTACTCGCTCCAGTTTCGATATTTTTTTTATCTAGAAAAAAATTTCTAGAAATTTTGAAAATACTTAAGCTAATAACATAGTTAAAATAAGATAATAGAAAATAATAAAATCTTAATCATTATAATAAGGGTGGAAACATTATTATCCAAACAGTCAAACATGAAAAGAGACAGATTTCAAGGAGAATATGCTATAAATTTTTGATATCAGAGAAATTAAACAAAATTCACACAAAGCATGTAATATTTAATAATGTCGGTAAACTGCCGCCAGAAATAGGACAAAGCTTATTAAAATGTGTTGCCAGTATATTGGTGGCAGGAACCGAGTAAGAACTTTTGGAGCTTCTGTTTGATTTCTGTCGTCAGATGCCGATGCATGCAGGTCTTATTTGGTTTTTGTTAATCTACTGGCGTAGTACATCAGAGTAAATTCTAAATCAGTAATTCTATCGATAGATATTGAATCTTAATACGGACATAGACAAATATGAATCTACAATAGGAATCTAATCAAATTTGCTACCAATCTGTCAATAAACTATTAGCATTTTGCTATATGGGTACACGTATGTATTGATAATAACTGTGTATGCACAAGTACAAATATAGTAAAACTTATTCTTTTTAGCTGAACTTCTTGCAATGTCCATTTCTTCTCTTCCTTTTCTTCAACATGAAAAAAAGTTTAAAAACAAGATCTCTCTTTAAAACAGACTTCAGAGCTATTTATTTCATTGTACATTTCGAAAATGTGAAACAAAGATACGGAACAAAACATACATAATCGTCGAATGCAATTCCTAAGCATCCCAATATGTCCAGCTTTTCGTTCAAAATCAACGGTTTGTGCATAATGCTCGGCCCGCATTGCCCAAAGGCGTCGTGCACATTGGAGGATGAAGTGGCGATTGGGGTCGAGATGCACTCACCGCGGCAATCACCCCAAACATAGACACGTCCTGCTTCAGTGACAGCAACGCTAGTGTTGTTCAGAGCCGCAATGTCGACCCATCTCATTTTTTCCATTTGACTGACCTGATTGGTATAATTATTGATCATGACTATCTTTGCTTTATCTTTCCTTTTTTTGTTCTATTTCCTTCAAGATAACGATAAACACAAGTCTACCATGACTGGTATACTACAGAATTGGTCCATCTGGCCGGTCCCCAATTGGCTGAATTTGTTTCCGCCCCAGGCATAAATGGCCCCTTTGTCTGTGAGCACTAGTGTGTGATTTAATCCGCAAGTTACTTTGTCTGTAACAATATTGCTCAATGATCCTGTTTTGCATTGTCATCTTCTTCTTCATTTATTACTTTATCGAAAAGAGAATTACCTACAAGGCCTTCCGGTATACCAACCAACTGTGGTGTCATATTTTTATTCTCGAAATTGCTAGCCTCCTCATCAAATGTCACCATTTGGCGATCGAAAAAGTCTTCTCTGTGCACAATATATTTAGTCTGCTGCCGTCTATTTTTACTTTCATACTTGCCTCCTATCCCTAGTTGGCCAACGTCGTTACTGCCCCAACCATATACTTTGCCATTTCTGGTGACAGTCATGGCGAAGTTATAGCCGCAGGAGATACAACCAACGTTAGACAAAATAAGCTTAGGTGTTATAGAAAGTCCATAGGTACTGTTACCTTCTAGTCCACTATTATTTGATTTCCAGGCATACACCTTAATCAAACCAGTTATTTAACTTATATGATAACAGAGGGTTATTGTCGTCATACAACGATGTTTACTTACTTCGCCAATCTCAGTTAGAATGCTGAAATGTTTATTGCCGCATGCGATGTCCACGACGCGCTTCATGTTCTGACTGTCTTGAATAACAGGGATGTTTATTAAAGTAAATGTAAGATCCATATTAAATGTTCCATTCTTCCATTGACCATAAACGTTGTCACACGAATATACCTTTTGCAGATATTACTATCATTGATTCTAATATCTCATAAATGCATCTATTAATTTGGCGATTTCATAAAACTTTTGATAATTATTTTAGAATTGCTGGATGCATAAATGAAAAATGATAAAGTAGAGAAATTCAAACATGAATTTTTTTTGTGCATAAGCATCTTCTCTTCCATAGCAAAAAACTTCACAGTGGTCTGGTTTCCACCGAGGGTTTAAACCGGATCAGAATGTAAGAACCAACTACAATCGAGTATTCCGTTGTTATAGTCAAACGACAGGGGAATGCTCGACTGTAGTTGACTGGTTCTTACATTCTGATTCGGTTTAAACCTTCGGTGGAAATTAGGCCAGTGATGTCATAATAGACTCATAATAAGTTCACAAGCAAGTTGTGATGTCACTATACTCAATAGTCCATTCACAATGGTCCATGAAATGACCATGCTTTGTGCAGCTTGTGATCACATATGCTGTGGTAGCAGGAACTCGAGCACAATGCATCCTTCGTAAGTTTGTGCTTGCTTGCATTAGTGATGTGAAAAAGGTAAAATGGATGATCAATTTGCACAAACTGGACTAAAATTCATTGGACTTATGATCGTTCTCTTTGTGAATGGACTATATGAAATTATTAAAAGGTCACAGTGATATCACATTGTTACTTTAATCTGTGTGCGTGCGCGCGCGCGTACGTGTGTGTGTGTGTGTGTGTGTGTGTGTGTATGTCATAGCAGTATCACACAGTAAGGTACAATTTTTATCAAAGCTTCATATAATCATCATAGGGATATTACTTGTAATAAAGCATATATTCATAGAGCCACGTTTTTATATTTTTTGCTATGAAAGACATTAACTATTTTATCAACTATTTCACAAGATTATCAGAATAAAGCTTAACATTTAACAAATTCGTATTTTATGAAAATTATATATTATTATTTCAAAGGAAATGAATCAGAATTACATACATATGTTCCAGTGAGATGTTACAAAGACATCAATTAAAAATTCACTCTAATGTACAATTTCCTAACTTTTTACCTCTCCTTCATTCGTGAGTGCCAACATGTGAGATCCCATGCTATACGCAAATGTCTTTATATCTTTTCCACACAAATCCTTAATCTTTTTCCGATATAGCGTAGTAAAGCTATTATCTCTGTTCTCCAAAGCTTGGAGATTGTCATTCAGGTCATATACTTCCTTCTCTTTTGTTACAATTAAGGCCCTTTTACCCAATTTACCTATTTTGAGAAGTAATAATACTGCTAAGAGATTAAGTCTGGATCTACAATAGGGTTTTAAGCCTTAAGCCATAAGAAATGGACGAATCACAGTCGTTTATTCTTCTGGATTCGACTGTAATTGGTCAATTTTTTACTTAAGGCTTAAAAACTATTGCAGACCCGAGGTAATACACAAGAGAAGAAAATAAAGTAAATTACCAAATACCATAACCATGTGAATCTCGGAAATAAATTTTGGCTCCAGTGAACTGAAGACCGGCCAGTTACGTAGATTCGAGCACATATTGCTTCACAGGATCACTTACTTTACGAATGTTTTATTTAGTTTCTTGGTATCTTTTTATTCCGTTTTAAGCTAATCTTTCAGATATGAGTGTCTGTAGTTGTCAGTGAAATAGTGCTAACCTGTAATCAGTGATAACCGATAAATCAACAACTGAACAAATCAAAATCGAAAGAGAATTAATAGAACGAAAGATCCTTATATGTGTACTTCAACCAACTTTGATTATTCTGTAAATAACCAAATTTCCGGTTGAATCAAGAAAATAGCTGCTGTAATTATTTTGCAAAAAAAAAAAAACAACAAATTTATCATTTATCCTAGTCAAATGTGAGGCGAATAAACTCGAATATTCTCCTCACATTCGACTACGAATAGTTAATTACTTAAGCTGATTCTAGAATGAAAAGAACGTAAAATATTATATTATATTTCACTCACGTGAATAACATACGTATAGTTGATTTTTTTCAAACTAATAGCGTTTTTCATTGACAAAACTAGTGCGCACTCAGTGCACATTAAAGCTGTTGTACACTATTTTAATCTAAATATAAAAGTGAGATATCTCAATTGATAAAATGCCCAAAATTTATTTTATCAAATAGCACAATAAATATGTATCGAATATTTATATTTCACGATTTAATTCATTTATATATTTTTATTAAACGTATATCTTTACGTCGATTTTTGTACAACGACTTTAAAGTGTACTGAGTGCGCACTAGCTCTGCCAATGAAAAACGCTATAAAGATGGCTGTCAAACTGTCGAAGTCACATGATTGGTCAGTCGTAAGGCCGGAACAGCTCTTTGAGGCGTCGGCCCGTATTCAGAACGCGCTTTTATCGATAAAAGCGCACTTTTATTTCTGAAATTCTATAATATGCGTGACGTAAAGTATGGTATGTTAGCGTGCTAACATCGTTGTAAGCGCGTTCTGAATATGGGCTGTCGTCTACAATACACGAAGTAAGAAGTAAGAGTAAGAAATTGACCAATCACAGTCGAGTATTCTTCTCACATTCGACTGTAATTGGTCAATTTCTTACTCTTACTTCTTACTCCGTGTATTGTAGACGGGCCCACGACCCATGTTAAGCGGGATCTACAAAAGAAGTCGTAGCAGTCGTAGAGTCTTAAGTCGTAGAAAATTAACCAATCACAGTAGAATATGAGAAGAATAATCGACTATGATTGGTCACTTCTATTGTAGACCCCGCATTAGCATGGCTTTTAGCATGGCTACTTAAGGGTCCTCTACATAGAAGTCGTAGACGATCGTGGAGTCTTAAGTTGTAGGAAACCAACCAATCACAATCAAATATAAGGAGAATACTCGATTGGAATTGATCAGTTTCCTATGACTTAAGACTCCACGACCGTCTACGACTTCTATGTAGAGGACCCTTTAATGTCCAAAGGTCGCTGGCAATATTCATACAATACATATATGCAGCATGTCTGGAAATTACCGCCAAATGTTTCGTGCATGGGTAGAACAGACTATACTGAGTCGAAAAGTCCTGTACCATTTTGCGGTGTCAGCAATAGTCAGCAAAACGAGATATTAATTACTAAAAATTGCAAAATAATGGTCTTGAATAATTTTTTAATCAAATACTATCAACTTTACAGAAAAACTGCAAGAAACAAAAATTATTTTTAATAAGATTTTATTTGGACCGACAAGAATTAAACACTAAGTATAAGTATATTCAGGCCTATGATGATCAAAGCTAGATCTTTTTTGATCTAGCTTTGACCTAAATAATTCCCAGTGAATTATCTATATCCTATATATGTACATGCATACAGGGTATCCCAAAAAGGTCGGGACACCTAAATATCTCGGGAAATATAAGTTTTACAGAAAAGTGTTTCAGACAAAAGTTATATGGTTTAAAAATATCTATTTACTGATCCTATCAGTTTGACCTTGGGTTGCGTAGCCAAGGTCAGGTCAAGGTTACATTGATTTTCTGAAATAGAACACTCTATTTTTGATTCAAGAATCTAATAGCTGATGTCGAGAGCTTTCCAAAACGCTATAATGAAATATTTTTTTATGAAGTACTTTTCACGTTATAATGCTTCAAAGTTACAGTATGTACCGCCGGCATTAGCATTACCCAAAATATTTAATTTTGGAGACTGGCCAGTCAAGGCGAGATCGGTCGGTGGTCCGTGAATCTTGACCTTCAGTTAACGCACAAACAAAAACATAACGCGTGGTATTTCATATCTTGGGTAAGGGTATGAGCACAAGGATTACCGTAACGCTTTACGTCAGTCTTGAGGTCATTCTACATTGGTCGTATCGTAGCGTCGGAATCGTCGTAAGCATCATACGACTTAAAAATTGAAGCATTGGATTGGCTGAAGCAACAAGCTTGTGACTTGCGACGTCTACGATACGACCAATGTAGAATGGCCTTTAAGTTGTAGACGTAAGTAACGCACAAACATTAGCGTATGACTTTAATAGCGTTTTCCACTGGGAAAACTAGCACCGTGCTAGGTTTAGATGAAAACTGCACTAGTGCAGTAATAATGCAGGTTTAGTGCGGTTCAATGGAACATATCATTAGACATTCATTTTATTCACCCCTAAAAATATATAATATATAAATATGTTTATACTTAAATTACTTATTTTACAATATTCTGATTCATTTATTTATCTAAAACATTTTTTTAAATTAAATTTTTACATTTAAAGAATTTTAAACATCAAAATGTCATTACATAGCTATTATCAGAAACATTGAAACTAAACAATGTCATTGTTCTAATATTAATTACACTAACGTAATATCATATCATAACATAATATCATACCTTAGCACGAAAACAAACTCAATTTCAACTTACACTGGTCTCCACTGACTTCAAAGATAGTGGAGCAAAAGTTGAATTCAGTGCAAGTTTTTTGCACCAGTTTTATCAATGGAACATTAAACATTGAACTAGTTCTCACAGTGGAACAACACAATTGCACTCAGTGCGCACCAGTGTTGCACCAGTTTTCCCAGTGGAAAACACTACCAACATATGTATATTACCATAGGCAATGCTTATGGCAATGTACATAAGTTAACATATGAAGACTTTAAATTTACACAGAACTCTTGAGGAATATGTTAGCTACAATATCCAATGAATGAAAGTCGCCAAAATTTAAATCCAACGTCAATATTAACAAAAAAGTCAAGTGAGAAAATGGGGGGGGGGGGGGGGCTAAAAAATGGGATGTAACGGGGAGGTCTAAAAAATGAGATGTAATATGGAATACCGATGAAATTTTGACCATATATAGTAATAAATAACACAATAAATGAAATCCAAATTTGTTTATTTATATAAACTGATCAAGAAAAATAGAAAACTGTTCAATTTTTATATATATTGTACAATAACACAGAAAATATAATAGCATCGTTACGAACGTTATTACGAATGGATAAATAAAAAATCGCAAATAAGCTGATAAATCACAAATAAACTGATATGAAATACATACTCTAATCTAACCCTAACCTAATCTGATCACGAATAAGTTGTTAGTATGCATGGAATCTATTCCATGTTCTCAACCATAGATGTATTCCACATTACCTGAATGTCGTCATATGACAAATAAAGTCTTTTCGTAGCAATAAACAAGTTTAAAATAGCAATTCATCTGCATAATATTGTTCATGCAACATTATTAAAAGTCTGTGCAATATAAGCATTAAAAAAACTTACCTTCAGTTTATAAGAATACTTTTTAGAAAAAGCTGCCGAATCGTCTGACGTAACGAAAATGAATAAATGTTAATTGTAGCAAAACGGTTGGTCGGACCGAGTTCATTGCTTGTTATGACATGTTTGGTAACAGTTGCAACAACTTTCAGCGATTGCCGCCAGATTGCAATGCTTTGTTTAAAAAATAAGCCACTATTCAATATTAGTATAGCCTATGCCATAATCCCTGATTTTACCCTACTTCTATCAAAATAATTTAGTTGAGCCGATTTAGTCATTTCAACTTAGATGGTTGACATAAATAAACTATATATTCGCATGTGCAATTAAATAATGGTTGACTCGACCATTGGATAAACCAATTGTAAACATTTTTTCCGTATAACCAATTTTTTTGTTCAATGCACATTTACAAGAGATCATCCGAAGACGAGAAGAAAGTACACAATTTTAAAGAGTAAATATACCCCCTCGTATCTTCAC